TCTACTAGCCTCACGTCTCACGTTACGTAGATTATCCGCATTTGTCTTGTTTGGGTCTTGCAACCATTGAAATTTTGTTTGCTTTCTTCGATCTATTAATTTTGAACATTCTTCATCAAACCACGGTATATTTTGCTTTCTCATGTAGTATCCTAGTTTCTCTTTGGCTGAATTTTTGATGCAGTTTCTGACATTTTCCAACTCCCTGTTGATGTCCACACTTTCATTATCTTCATCCGTCTCTGAAATTTGAAACCTATTCAATATTTCAAGTTGATACTGTTCCTTCGCCTTTCCCTCACTTATTTTTTTCAAATCAAATCTTTCTGTGTGGAAATTTGCTTAGTTCGTCTACTGAAAGCCGCTTCCTCACTTTTGATATCACCAGATAATGATCAGTGTCATAATCTGCTCTTCTGAATGACCTCACTTCAATTAGATTTGTCTGCCTTCTATTATCTACTAAAACATGATCTATTTGATTGTGTGTGCTGCCACCTGGAGAAGTCCAAGTGTATTTATGAATATGACGGTGTGGAAATTTTTGTACTTTTTACAATTAAGTCTTTTGACGTAGCGAAGGTTACTGCTCTAACACCGTTATAATTACTAAGTGCATGGAGACTCTCGCTGCCTATTGTGGGTTTGAAGATATCCTCCCTCCCAATTTTTGCGTAAGGGTTAAGACATATGTGTTTTATTTGACCACAGTTTTTATATGTGAATATTTAACCTTTATTGTATGGTTAATAGAGGATTTAAACCCTTGTACTATGGGGTTGCTGGATGGACTTTAACCCAGGGTGACCAAGTTTAGTGGTGTTCTGAAGTCATATATGGTCAGCTGGATCCTGTGTAAGCAGTGACACGTGGGCGATGATAATGAAGTAATGAAAACATTTATAACTCAGTGCAATGAATCTGTACTGTAATTATCTATACGACAATGTATTTGTATTCACAATAAACAAACATAAAATTCAGTGAAGTATATAAAATCACAGATTGCGTCTGGAAAATATGTCATTCCACTTTTGTCTTAACTGAGGTAGGCCTGCGAGGTTAAACCCCACTTTCACCATTACAGTGTGGCAAGGACCATTTATGGTCATACCAGAATCAACGAAGACAATTTCTAAAAGCATTAATAAATATGCCTGTCACTGATCAAAGGACAAGTTGGTAATGTTTTGAAATATGGTGCTGAGAAATTAAAGGCTGCAGAAGAGAGTAAAGTTAATTTTTATTCATTATATCCCATTAGTGCTAAATATGCCCCAATCGCAGAAAGAAGACAGAAAACATGCTTCTCTTGACCCACCAGCAATATTTCAGGATGTGTGTTTGTAAGAACTCAACCATTCAATAAATATATTGTTTTCATTGGCGACTGTTGGCAAGCAACGTGGTGATGAGAGGAACACTGAACCTGAGAAAGATGCTGTCTGTAACCATTGCATCATTTCTGAAAGCAACTGTTCAGGTAACAACACTATGAAGGCATATAAGGGGCATGGATGTAAAGTTGCACCGTTCTAGATTTCAGCACTAGATGGAGGTTGGTATTAGAGTTGCCATCCCTGTGGGGTGCATGATCACATTCACACACTTCGGTAGATACAGCAAACAAGACCAGCAGTGATGCAGAACAATCTAGTATTGCTCTGATGTGTGCAGAGCCACAAATGGAGCGTGCCTTGCCATGAGAACAGTCGTACCACTCATGACAATAGATACTTTTAAAGCTAGTTTACTTTGCTTACTTTCACTCTGTAGTGTCATATGGATTAATCTTTTGGGGAAATTCAACAGACAGTAATAAAGTTTTTTACGTGCAAAGAAAATAATTAGAATAATAGCTGGTGTCAAAAGCAGGGTATCTTGTAGAAAATTATTTCGTAAATTTAATATACTTCCACTTGCAAGTGAACTTATACTCTGCTTGCTATCATTTGTGGTGGAAAACATGGATAAATTTAAAAGAAATACAAATGTACATAATTTAAATACAAGACGTAAATATGATCTATATGTGCCAAATGCTAACTTTACTAAATATCAGAAAGGAGTGTACTATACAGGTATCAAGTTATTTAATAATCTTCCACCAAGAATTAAAAGTCTAAATTATGATATAAAGTATATACATATATTTATTCTTCAAGTCTATACACAAACTATATTAATATTGATGTTAAAAATTAAAATTGATATAAATATTTCGCGCTATTCATCGTTTCCTCGATGTTACAATTTGCGCTAT